TGTTTGACACTTAAAAGATGAGGTTTAGAGACGCGCAAATGCTACCGTTTGCTCTGCAGGTGTTCAAACGTTGACAAAAGAAGTCTCCTGGCAACCAAATTGCAGACAAATGATGCTATGCACGTGTGTGAATATCAACAAAGAGATTCATTCAGCGTGCGACTCTGCAAACATTTGCTACACAGGTTTTGTTGTCATGTAACGTGCATTTCATTTGCCTAAAAGTGAATGTTTATTATTAACCATGTACATCTCTCTCTCTCTCTCTCTTGGTACGGTCGTGTTTGCTTGTGTTTTTCAGCTTTTCTCTTTTGTTTCTCAGCCAGAACAACTGTTCTGACACTATTTTAATGAAACATGCTGAACTAAATGGAGCCATCTGGGTGTTTGAAATAATTTTTAATAACAATCACTCAAATGCTGTTTTGGGTTGATACTAAATCGCTCTTGCCTGGTACATGTGCCTGTGGGCTTATTGGATTTCTGTTTTCTGTAATTGGCAAAGTCTTTTGGTCGCAGCGCTCGCATCACACAGGCTTTTGGTAAGATGTTTGTAACCAATCTCTTCATTGACACACACATCACGTGTACTGATTAATGCCGCCACTGAAACACAAATCCGATTTGTGCAACTGAATAAGTTTCTTATCATTTCTGTTTATCGATGTGTGCACACAATGCGAAGGCCAACTGTAGTTTCACTTGAGAAGAGCTACTTTTCTTCATAAAAACTAAGGATGCATTTCCTAAAAGCATTGTTTGCCCAAGTAAATTTTAAAAACAAAATGGCACCAAAGTTCTTAACAGTCTACCAGGGCAATTTTAAACTGCACTGCTCATTTCTGCTTCAGTCTGCTTCATTTCTGCTTTTGATGTGCAAATAAATGATGTGCAAACTTAATGTCGAGATTCTTCCGCTTCGGTCTTCGCATTGCATGTGTCTTTTTCTTTGTCCCGCTTTCTTGTGTTGTTTTCTGTTATTCCATAGGCTCACATTCTAACATGATCCAAGCTCTGATTGGCTGCTGGTCGTGGAGGCTTATAAAATGGAACCTCCCGTAGGGTTCAGGGAGCACATTTGTGGTGGGACATTTGCTGGGATTGGAGAGCTCCTAGACTTTTCCTACCCCTCCAGTTGACCAACCTTTAGTCTTGCACAACTGTTCATGTACTGTATGTTTACAACTTTTTGAGTGTTTGAGTTTATAGGGGTGGCCTGCCTATTTATTTGATTATTTTTGACTATGTTTATGTTTAGTGAGGAAGGTAAGCTTCCTGTACTTTTCTTTAAGTAAACTTTATTTATAAACTAATTTCGAGAGGATCACGTGCTTATGATTGCTTGCAGCCGCTCCCGCATAATTCAATTTATGTTACCCCAATCAAATCCCCCCTTCCACCTCTACTCCTCCTTTCCTAGATAAGTGGCACGGTGGCACAGTGGTTAGCACTGTTGCCTCACAGCAAGAATGTCACTGGTTCTAGTCCTTACCAAGACAGTCGTCATTACTGTGCTGAGTTTACGCATTCTCCCCGTGCTCATGTGGGTATCCCCTGGGTTACCTGGTTTCCTCTCACTATCCAAAAACATGCAACTTAAGTTAATTGACTAATCCAAATTGGCACCATAAACTTGCTCCTAGTTATCTCTTAAGAGTAATCACTATCTGTTTGTTAGCTACTACAGCAAGGGAGTTCTCAAGATCTACCTGAGCTCAAACTCCCCACTTGCCTTGCAAACGGGAGGGAGCCCCGGGCTCGAGGATCTTATGAGCTCAGGGCTCTCTTCCAGGACAGCATGTCAAACAATCTTAGGGCATAATAATCTTGTTAATTGTTAATTCTTGTTTTGGTGGCCAGACACTAGTCCTGTCTTGTCTAGTATGTTGTGCTCGGCTGGAGTTTTCTCGGGTTGAGCACTCATGGTTCCTATTATTGTCTGTGTCTAATTTGAGCACCATCTTGGCCGCCACTTGACGCAGACATGTGAGGTGTGGGCTTGCTCGGGATGCTCGCTCGTGTTTGTTTTGTCCATGGTGTGATGTTTTTTTCTCAGCGTCTCAGTCTAGTTGGTTTCAGTTTTGGTTGTCCTTGGGATGGAATGTGTCTTCACTTGTCGTGGGCGCGTGTCTTACGTTTTTCTGTTGGTGTTGTGTTTTACACGTGGCTCTGTGTTTACAATGTGGCTGCATGCTTTAGTGTTGTGTTTCATGTGAACACGCAGTTAATGGGTTCTCTCATTGGCTGCGTGCTCTAGTCCTGTTTTCTCGTGAGCACATGGCTTGTGTTGTCTCTTTATGTCATGTGCTCTCCTGTCCATTGTCCAGTCCCACCCTACTTGTTAATAAATTATTAGTTTATCCTGTTCACCTGTCTGTTAAAAAATTATTTCTCCTTTATAGTCTCCTCATGTCTGCTTTCCTGTGCCAGTACATCCTTGTTCTTCCCAAGAGTCATGTCCTGTTCTTTGCCAACCCAGTCCAGTCTAGTTTGTCTTTTAAGTAATATTTCCCCCCTCAGGTTAGTTTTTGTTCTCCTTTTGTTTTATTTTATAATTAAGAAATATCCGAGTCCTCGCTCCTTTCCCTACCCACTGACCGTGACATTTAATGTTTTGTAATAATCTTGTAAAACGAGTGTCCATCATACAATATATCTTTCACATCATTCCTGTCTTTCAAACCATGCAGGCTAAGGTCAGTTGCACATTACTCATGTCTAATTTCTCAAAAACCAGGACTCTAAGTCCCCAAAGCAACATGCATTAGAATTCTTCCAGTTGTTAGTGTTAATCTGCAGGTGATTAAGACTAGTAAATGATCTGACAAACCCTGTTTGAAGTGACTCAAATCCTCTGACAGCAGGTTGTCAAGATGAAGCCTCTCCAGATGAAAATCTGTGATTTCTAGAATATTGCATCATTACAGTGTCAGTAACTCATTCCGGCCCCTCAAAAAGGCTGGACATCCACAGAGATTCTCAATGGACAATCACTTCAACACTGCAGCTGGAATTGCTTGCCAGACTAAGAATCTGTATGTTAAAGAGAATTTTGACTGAAAGCCCTGTAATGACCAAACCTTCATTAGCAGAAATAAGCAACATTAACTATTACATTTTTAATTATTCTAATGTATTTAAAAGGATCAGAAAATTGGTCCAAATTTCACTTTAGTGATGAAAGCAAGATCCATATATTTAATCACACACACTCAAAAAAATGATTTGTTGGACTTACATAAAAAAAAGAGTGTCAAGTGGTTCCACGTAACTGTGTTGAGTAGTTTCAACAAGTAACAATATAGTTGAATTAACTGAAGAAATTCAGGTAAAGTTTACAAAATATTCCTTAGTACATACAACCCAATTTAGATGTGTCATTATTACATTTTAGTTATATGTATATTTTACTTAGTAATGTTATGTAAAAATTATGAACTTTCAATATGTAAGGTGAACACTTTATTTTCTTTTTTTAATTCACTTTTAAAGTATGTGCTTTACAAGTGTAAAACCTAAATAATCAAACATTTTTAGAAACAAAATTAATTTATTTTTTTGCAAGGTTTTGCAACATACACCTAAAATCCATAAAACAATTTCAATTTCACAGGTCCTTTGAAACAAATTCTTTCAAAGTGTCTTTCAAAGTGTAACTGGCTTTAAGAATTTGAAATCTTAATTTGAAAAATTAAATACATGGAATGTTAAAATACTTATAAACTCTATTTCTGATCTTTACAATGAATAGTAAGAGTAACATTCAAACTGGCCTCGATTTTTGTAAACATCCACAAACGGGTGAAATAGCAGTTTGAAGAGGTATTTTTTATTTTTTTTTAAACACTTTGGTCAATAGTGAACATTCTTACAATGTGCTACTTTCTTCAAATACGAATTTAAAAAAGAAAATGTGCAAGGACATTATTTTTTTCAATACTGTCACGAAACGCTACATTGCTTAATTGCTGATATTTTAAAATGTTTAAGCGATTGTTAAAGTATACAACTGGCCTCTATTTATGACAACCCCCACCAAAATAACATTTCGCTTCAAAAAGACACAAAAAAAATGTTTATTATTGACCAAAATGTTATTTTACTATGAGCAACTGCAAATAAAGCATTTTACTTGGAAAGAGAAAAGGGAAGTTTAAGGCAGGCAGCATGTCACAAACTGCCAGTGTTCAATTTTGTATATCTGAAATCGCTCGAGCCATTAGTAATGAAAAGATAAAAACTGACCTATAATCTTTGTAAATAACCAAACAATTTAGCCATTTAAAGTTGCAGAACTTCATTTAAAATTTTGGTGCCATCAACAAAGATAACATCACATTAATTTTAAAAACAGAAACAATTTAAATGTCACAAAAAAAAGCTTCTTCCTCTATTTCTTTAATTTGTCCAGAATGATGTACTGATTCAGCCAAGTTTGTTCTTGAGTTCTTGAAGTCCCAGCAACACTTTGTGGAAAAATTCAGGTGTATTTCAGGTCTGAAGGATAACTGAGACTCAAGCTGTATATGACTCCCAAAAGAAGAGCACAAGCCTTGGTGACATCGCCAAGGTTCTGAAGCACTTTCACTCCCTCAACAATCAGTCCAACACCTGATGGTGGGTCACAGGCTTCTGCACCTTCAGGTCTGACGATGTAGATTATAAATGAGAGTATTGGCCATGTCTCTCTCTCTCTCTCTCTCTCTCTGAGTTTTTAAAGTCTGTGTAATATAAAACACAAAAACAGTACCACTGTTAAGTCAGTTTAATTACATCAAAAATACAGATTGTAAATTTTGTGAATTTTGTATCAACTGTCCATTCCTCAATCTTTCACATAACGCACCTGCAGTGACTTACAAAACAACTTTACTGTGTTTGTTAGGGTTAGTCTGTACTTTTGATAACTCCAAGTTAAATATACTTTGTGTATTGATATTCCTTGATTATATTATGTGAATTTATGTGGTGGCATTTTAAACATTCACTGCTTGAAAACACTTCATTAAGATACAGAGAAAATGCTCTGAGAATGCAAGCTCTCCGAGTTGAGATGGAATCATTCTGTAGAAGAGACATTAAGTATAAACAATTAAAAAACACCATACTAAAGTGGAAATTATTTACAAGCATCTTAAAATACAGTTAACAAACCTCATCAATGGTAGCCATCACTTTTCAAATATTATGCCCTGCAATTCATAAAGGTAAAGTTGGTTTTATACTTGGATATAAAGACATTATATTATTAAGGAGAATTTCAGAAAAGTATTCTTTGCAAATTCTTAATTGGGAAATTATATTAGCAGCAAATGACTATCAAAGTACAACATTGTTCAGATTGAATTAGACCTGTGTTAATGTTGTTTAGAAGTCATACGTGCATGATAAATCTGATCAAATATTGAACGTAACATGGTAAACAATATAGAGACTGCTAAATGATAGAATGTGTGAATATAATTTATAATTTGTTACCTCTTCCTGCAATTCCTATAGAGGTAAAGTTGGTTTTATATTCTCACATTTGTTCATTTAGCAGTCTCTATATTGTTTACCATGTTACGTTGAATATTCGATCAGAATTAGCATGGGAGTATGGCTTGAAAACAACACTAACACTATTTATTTGACTGTGAACAATTTTGTACTTTGATAGAAATTTACTGCTAATATGATTTTGCTATTTAGAGTTTGCAAATAATACTTTTATGAAATTGTATTATTAAGGGGAAAGTCCGAATGTGTGAATATAAAACCAACTTTACCTCTATGCAATTCCTCCTCCACTACGGGAGATGCTGGCCAGCTTGCTGGAGTAACTATCCAGTTTTGACATGTTTGAATTAGTGGGACAGAAGTGATTCAACAGCAAATTCAGCAGCAATCTGTAGATTTAAGACACAAGATTATAGTAAAGATAGCTTTCATACAAGGCACTGTATCACTGTTTTTTAGGTGGTTATGGATGTTACTAAAATATTTCTGACTCTATATTGCTGCAAGAACACATGGCAATTGAACTTGGCTAGAGTTACATTTGGATGTAACCCAGTGTTCTCATTTGCATGGACAGAGGTAAAGTTGGTTTTATATTCGCACATTCGGACTTAATAATAAAATTTCATAAAAGTATTATTTGCAAACCCTAAATAGTGAAATCACATTTGCAGCCAATAACTATCAAAGTACAAAATTTTCACAGTCAAATAAACAGTGTTAATTTTTTTTTTAAGTTATACTTGCATGGTAATTCTGATCGAATAACTCAAAGTAACATGGTAAACAATAGAGACTTCTAAATGAACGAATGTGCAAATATAAAACCAAATTTACCTCTATCTAAAATTAAGAGGGCTGTGTAGCGCATTCCATGTTTTAAATTTACAGAGAAACTCAGAATAAGTGCATAAAAACGCGACCATAATGTCTATGCACTAATCTAGTCGTGACAGTTATTTTGCAGTCTTTGCACTGCCATGTGCTTTCCTTGAGAAACACGAGTCAGTATAACTAGCTAAAAATGCTAAAACTCAAAAGACTCCGAAATACACTGATAACATAAAATAACATAATTCTGTGAACACTTTTCCTAGCGATATTTAACAGTAAAGAGTTATAAAATACTCTTACCTGACAAAGCCACCATCTTCTACTCCTCAATGTCTGCCTTCCGTTCTGTTCCGGTGCTCCGCCCATAGGTAAGCTACGGTGTCCGCAAATATCCAAACTTAAGAGGGTTTTGCGATTTACTCCACAATGTTAAGTTGTCCAGTCAAACCCTTATTAGGTAAAGCCTACAGTACTCCATTTTTGTAGAAATAACATAGTTAACTTGTGTAAATTGAATTACTTTTATGTTTTATGTAATGTGAACAGGGATGGGTATAGTAAAACTAACAATAGGGAAAGTTCATTTTTTTGAGTGCAGATTTAAAAATACTAACTGATTTGTGTTAAAAATGTACATTTCAATGTAACGCTTAATGGTAGTTTGACATATTCTGGGCAAATTCAAGCTACAGCCCAGACACTAGCTGTATACATAGCTTATATGGCAGATATAGCTTTTCCCAAAACATTGTATACCAAAGTAAACTGATGAAAGCTAAAATGTATTCACTTTGGAGAATTGCACAATTTCAACTAGACTACATTCAGAAAGACACAGTCTGAAAAGTGCATATGCATTTAATGTTTTGTATATGTCTGTTCTTCCAAACTTGTATTCATCCATTATTAAATAGATGCTTCACATCACTTCTCTTTCAGAGTGCACACACAGCGTCAAGGTCAGCTGGAGTTTTATTAACTTGAATAGATGCTAGACAAATCCAAGCTACAGTTGAATTATGGTATTTTCATCTTTTAACTCATTGAGATGTGTAATACAAAATTAAGTAGATTGTAGAATTTATTTATTTATTTTGCTTAAGCTCACAGTGATTTTGCAAAAGTGCAGCTTAGAATTGTACAATTTCAGGCAAACTACTTAAACAGCCTCTTTTATGATTAACTCTGACCAAAACAAAAGTGAAGATTATTTTGTTTTAAGCCCAAAATAAACTACAGTAGTCAGCAAAATTGTCAAGGATCAATGTTGTTGAATAGTTTTAGAATTTTTTAGAGGTTTTGATTCAATACAAATGTTGACTACTATACACTACCTGACAAAAGTCTTGTCGTCGACCCCAGTTGTAAGAGCAATAAATAGTAACTTGACATCTAGTTGATCATTTGGGAAAGTGGCAGAAGGTAGATTTTTTCTGATGAATCATCTGTTGAACTGCATCTTAATCACCACAAATACTGCAGGAAACCACATGGACCCAAGATTCTAACAGAAATCAGTCAAGTTTGGTGAAAGAAAAATCATGGTTTGGGGTTACATTCAGTATGAGGGCGTGCGAGAGATCTGCAGAGTGGATGGTAACATCAACAGCCTGAGGTATCAAGACATTTGTGATGCCTATTACATTATAAACCACAGGAGAGGGCAAATTCTTTAGCAGGATAGCGCTTCTTCTCATACTTCAGCCTCTACATCAAAGTTCCTGAAAGCAAAGAAGGTCAAAGTGCTCCAGAATTGGCCAGCCAAGTTACCAGATATGAACATTATTGAGCATGTCTGGGGTAAGATGAAGGAGGAGGCATTTAAGATGAAACTAAAGAATCTTGATGAACTCTGGAAGTCCTGCAAGAACGCTTTCTTTGCCATTCCAATCAGTTATTTGAGTCATTGCAGAGATGTATGGATGCAGTCCTCCAAGCTCATGGGAGTCATACACAATATTATATTCAATACTGTACATTATTTCTGATAATAGACAAGAGTTTTGTCTAAGCAAAGTCAGACCTAACTGTCCTAATTAAATAATTAAAAAATCAAGACATGATCATATTTTATTTTGGTAAAATTAGCGTAATTAAGAGGCATTTGCCTTTTATTTAAGCCACTTCTCAAACCAAATGATCTTCTAGAAGTCAGGTTATTATTTGTTGTCCCTAAGACTCGGATAGGTGACAAGACTTTTGTCAGGTAGTGTATATACACTCTGTGCGATGCAAATTTTGCCTTCGGAACAGTATGTGTGTAGTGTTCGCATTGTTTACGTGAACTCAGAATTCTACTTATTTAGTCCACAAGGTAATGTAATGTAATGTGTATTTATATAGCGCATTTATTGTGTATGGCCATACACCCAAAGCGCTTCACAATTATGAGGGAGGGTCTCTCCACACCACCACCAGTGTGCAGCATCCACTTGGATGGTGCGACGGCAGCCACAGGACAACGGCGCCAGTACGCTCACCACACACCAGCTGTTGGTGGAGTGGAGAGACACTGATAGAGCCAATTCAGTTGAAGGGGATGATTGGTAGGCCATGATCGTAAGGGCCGATAGAGGGACTTTGGCCAGGACACCGGGGTTACACCCCTGCTCTTTCACGAAAAGTGCCATGGGATTTTTAATGACCACAGAGAGTCAGGACCTTGGTTTAACATCTCATCCGAAAGACGGCGCCCACTGACAGTATAGTGTTCCCTTCACCTTTACTGGGGCATTAGGACTCACACAGACCACAGGTTGAGTGCCCCCTGCTGGCCTCACTAACACCACTTCCAACAGCATTGGTGACAAAACACCAATCTGGGCTGTTGATTCACAGTATGAAAGAAAAATGGAGAAGACTAAATGAGAATAACAAACTAATAAAGACTTCAAAAGGGCACTACCCTTTCATTTTTACATAGATATATTACATACTCAATAAAAGCTAAACAGTATTTCACTTATTATGGGCCATTTTTTCTAGAAAATGCATTTAAAGCAATTTAGTAAGCAATTTAATTCCAGTTATTATGGTTTCACATACAGTATGAAACAACTGTTGTCTATTTAATTTAATCTTTGGCCTAGAAACCACTGGCACCAAAGTTCTCCAGAGTCTTCTGAAACACACAATGTTTAGTTCAAATGCAGCCTACTGTAGAGTTGAACCATTTTATTCTAATTATGCGTTAGAGACAGTTTTCTACTATAGTGTGTCAGAAACTGAACCTATTTTAAAAGTATTAAATGTAATGTATTAATATGGCCTTCCAAATTTGTATTATCTGTAGATTGCTGGAATAATATTAAACCATTTATGCAGTTGCACTCGTCAGTTCATGCAAGCCATAATATCAGCTCATGTAGAAGACTACATGAATAGCATTACCCTGTATAATGAACACTGGACATAGTTCATCATTAAAACCCCATGCGAGGGGCTTTCCCATGATTCACTTGACCGGTTTTACAGAAATGCCCAGTAGGGATGTAGTTACTCTCACTGAGATCTACTTTATGAATAAAACTAGAATGATTCTGGCAAAAGGGGACAAGATTATTAAAGTATACGAGTCCAGCGAAACGTAATTCCTGAACAGACTCTTAAATATCTCTGTTCGCTGTTCAGGCTCATTTGTTTTTTCAATGTGACCGTGCTTAGAAACTCATCATCAAATCATCAAGCCTGCATATTGAGAAGTGCATATTAATTTCACAGAATAAATCATTCGTGATGAGTTGCGTGAGTGTCTGACCTGCGCTGTGTGAGAACATGCAGGAGTTCTTCATCCGTCACAACAAAGTGATGCATGATGGGCAGGAGCTGTCAGAGATTTCTCCATTCTGAAAATGAAAAAAAGAGAAAGAAAGCGACAGATCTTTATCTGAGCATCAGCTAACTGTGCTGGAGGAGTTAAGTCTTCAGAGCTCTTCTACATAAGGCTTGTAATTTTCTTCTTTAACAGCCCATAAACAGTTGAATCAATCTCAATTAGCGGCGCTGAATATTTCATTAGTTCTTACTGTCCATGAATGACTTATACAATTGGGTCAGAAACTCTTTTATTGAATTATTCACTTTATTCAGTAAAGATCAATTAACAAAATAAGTGGATTACTTTTTTCAAAGAATCATTATTTTATAAAATAGTCAGAACTAAGAAATTATCAACAATATACACTACCTGACAAAAATCTTGTCGCCTATTTTAAGAAAAACAGACAATTACTTGACTTCTAGTTGATCATTTGGTATCAGAAATGGCTTATATGAAAAGCAAAGGCCTCTTGATTATGATTATTTTACAAAAATAAAATATCTTTATTTTTAATTATTTAATTAGGACAGTAAGGTCTGACTTTGCTTAGACAAACGTCTTGTCGCTTAACAGAAACAATGTCCAGTATAGAATATAAAGTCATGTTGCAGTGGACAAAATATATTGTGTATGGC